ACCCTTTAGACTCCAGGTGCTCTCCAGCCTCACCTGGGCCGAACGTGATGTTGACGGATCGTGCAATGTCATCTCCCCCCCCCCCTTTCCCTCCTCCCAGGCCAGGCACAGGTCTCACGGGAGTCTGAAATACGCTGGCAACATTTATAACCCCTGAGGCTCATCGGTACCAGCAATGTCCCCTCTAAGCTGTGGAGTCTTGTGAGCAAAAATCCTACTCTGTGAGCCACTGGCATTAAAGTTGTGAGCGAGCGATTTGGCTCCTGCATAGATTAGTCTGCTCTGGAGCTGTCCTTCCTGGGCGAAGACAAAAATGTGTGAGCCGGAGGCTAAAGAACTGTGAGCTAGCTCACACTAACTCAGCTTAGAGGGAACAGTGGGTACCAAGTGCTTCTCTTCTGCCTCTCCCAGAATTTAGTCAAAAGTGTTGAGAGTACACAGGGGGAAGGTTTCACAACCACCGGGGAAAGGGGGTGCATTAACCAGGGAACGAGCAAGCAAACACCCTTCCTCTGTCTCAGGAACAGGCAGTGAAGAGATGCTGTCGAGCCATCGTCTTTCCAGAGGTGTGGAAACGGCTGCTGCCCCTCCAGTCCAGGTAAGGGAGAGGAGTGGGGGAGGACAGCCCGGGTCCCTCCTCTCTTTCTCGGGGGGGGGGGGCTTTTGCTCCTGCAGTTTCAACAAGGGCTCCAGGGGCAAGAGATCCTCTGAATGCCGTCCCCTTTACCCGCACCAAGCCGTACGTCCTGTACCCTCCCGGACGACTCCCTTCCAGTGTGTGATCTCTGACAAGGGAATCTGCTCTTTCCTTCCAGTGTCCCTTCTCCTTCGAGGAGGTGGCCGTGTATTTCACCGTGGCCGAGTGGGCCCTGCTGGATCCGGGACAAAGAGCTCTCTACCGGGAAGTCATGCGGGAGAACTATGGGAATGTGGCCTCTCTGGGTAAGGGTGCCAAAGGTGCACATTGCTGCCACTGTGATGAGGCATGAATCGAAATACTCAGGGCTATTTTGGGGCAGGAACGCACAGGAACGGAGTTCTGGCTGGCTCCCGAGTTGGCCACGCCCAGCAGGAACTCATTAGCATAATAGGCCACACCCAACATCAGAAACTCATTAGGATTGGCTACGTTAGCGGTGTGTGGCCTAACATGCAAAGGAGTTCCTGCTACAAGAAAAGCCCTGGGTTTTGACAACAAACAGGGTAAGCAGAATAAGAAGCAAAAGGTGGGTGTGGCTGGATGAGCACACATCTGGTAACATGGGGGTGCGGCCTAATAGGCTAATGAGCTGTGTTGTCAGGGGTGTGGCCTAATATGCTTATGAGTTTCTGCTGTTGGGTGTGGTCTATTATGCTAATGAGTTCCTGCTGGACTTTTTCTACAAAAATAGCCCTGGAAACTCTGAATAGCAATACACCGTTTTGAGGTCTGTCCTTCTACTTGGGGATAGAATCACAGAATCACAGAGTTGGGAGGGGTCCTAGAGGCCATTTAGTCCGACCCCCTGCTCAATGCAGGATCAGCCTAGAGCATCCCTGACAAGGGTTTTTCCAGCTGCAGCTTAAGGACGGCCAGTGAGGGGGAGCTCACCACCTCCCGTGGCAACTGATGCCACTGCTGAACAGCTCTTACTATCGAAAAGTTTCCCCTAATGTCCAGCCAGTACCTTCCTGCCCTTAATTTACCTCCCTTATCGTGAGTCCTCTCCTCTGCTGCCAACAGGAACGGCTCCCTGCCCTCCTCTAAGTGACAGCCCTTCAGATACTTAAAGAGAGCCATCATTCCCCCCCTCAACCTCCTCTTCGCCACACTGAACATTCCCAAGTCCCTCAGCCTTTCCTCACAGGGCTTCTTGGTCTCCAGGCCCCCAGTCATCCTCGTCGCTCTCCTCTGCACCCGCTCCATTCTGTCCACATCCTTTTTGAAGTGAGGCCTCCAGAACTGCACACTGTACTCCAGGTGCGGCCTGACCAATGCGGTGTACAGCGGGGCTATGACATCGTGCGATTGGGATGCTATGCCTCTGTTGATACACCCCAAGATCGCATTTGCCCTTTTTGTCGCTGCATCACGCTGGCTGCTCATGTTTAATTTATGGCCCACCTGTACCCTAAGATCTGGTTCACAAACACTGCAACCGGGGATCCTGCTGAGGTGCACCACCATGAGCTAGCTCACCCGTTTTCAAATTGTACCACAGTGATTCCCCCCCCCCCAGCGCAGGGCCCCAAAGAATACCATCTGCTAAAGATGCTGGGTTGCTGTGGCTTCTGCCTGGGTTCCGAGTGGACTGACGTCTTTCTCTCTCTCTTCCTGTCCCCTCCCACCCCCGTGCTTGCCCATAGGCTTTCCTGGAGCAGAAGGATGTGTGCGACTGGAATAAAAAAAGGCCAATGCTATGCTGGGGATTATTAGGAAGGGTATTGAAAAACAGATCAGCCAATATCATAATGCCCCTATATAAATCAATGGTGCGACCTCATTTGGAATACTGTGTGCAGTTCTGGTCACCACACCTTAAAAAGGATATTATAGCTTTGGGGAAAGTGCAGAAAAGGGCAACTCGAATGATAAAAGGGTTGGAACACTTTCCCTATGAGGAAAGGTTAAAGCGCTTAGGGCTCTTTAGCTTGGAGAAAAGACGACTGAGGGGTGACATGATTGAGGTTTATAAGATTATGCATGGGATAGAGCAGGTAGAGAAAGAGGTACTTTTCTCCCTTTCTCACAATACAAGAACTCATGGGCACTCCATGAAACTGCTGAGCGGTCGGGTTAGAACGGATAAATGGAAGTACTTCTTCACCCAAAGAGTGATTAACACATGGAATTCACTGCCACAGGAAGTGGTGGGTGCTACAAGCATGGACGGCTTCAAAAGGGAATTAGATAAGCATATGGAGCAGAGGTCCATCAGTGGCTATTAGCCACAAGGTATAGATAGGGACTCTGGGGCAAGTGATGCTCTGTCTTCTTGGTGCTTGGGGGGGGGGTCAACAGTGGGAGGGCTTCTAATGTCCTAGCCCCACTGGTGGACCTCCTGATGGCACTGGTATTTCTGGCCACTGTGTGACACAGAGTGTTGGACTAGATGGGCCTTTGGCCTGATCCAACATTGGCATCTCTTATGTTCTTATGTTCTTATGTCTTCTTGGTGCGGGGGGAGGGGGGCAACAGTGGGAGGGCTTCTAATGTCCACTGCTGGACCTCCTGATGGCACCTGGTGTTTTTGGCCACTGTGTGACAGAGTGTTGGACTGGATGGGCCTTTGGCCTGATCCAACATTGGCGTCTCTTATGTTCTTATGTAATTGAAGGGCTGTCATATAGAGGATGGTGTGGAGTTGTTTTCTGTTGCCCCAGAAGGTTGGACCAGAACCTATAGGTTGAAATTATATCTGAAGAGTTTTCGGCTGAACATGAGGAAGAACTTCCTGACAGTTAGAGCCATTTCTCAATGGAACAGGCTTCCTCAGGAGGTGGTGGGCTCTCCTTTTTTGGACATTTTTAAACAGAGGCTAGATGGCCATCTGACAGCAATGCTGATTTTGTGACTTAGGTAAACACAGAAAACACCGTGTTGAAATAATAAACACAATATTCACATGCACTTATAGCTAAATATATTTGATGTATATACACATCTAGTGTATTGTAAACACTTCCAAACTACTACATCAACATTTCAAACACTTTCAAACTAAATTATATAACACAAAGAGTCCATAATCGCAGAAACCCACTCCAGTATAAACTGTCTTCTTCCTGATGGATGATAGATACCAATGTACAGTTACATGCACTGAACAATGCGGCAACCTATTGTGCATTTCCCAAGTGATGTTCCATCAGGTAAAGCTAGCAGGCAGCTTGTATTTCTCACTGTGATGATTCAGCTTAGCCAGCAAGCCTAGTAGATGTATCTTCCCATGAGGTGATTCAGCTAGCAAGCAAGCCTAGCAACACGCCTCCCGGGCATACCTGCGTGTTTCGAACAAATCTTCTTCCGGCATATAAATTTTCCTGGAACCACAGCTGTTGAATTTACCCATGCATAAGTCAGATAATGTAAAAATGGCTGTTCCGGAGACTTTGCTCTGAGTCGAGGGTGGGGGTTTGTTCAGGGGGTTGGAGGTCCCTTCCAACTCTATGATTCTGTATAAAAATGATCTCTCTCTCTCTCTCTCTCTCTCTCTCTCTCTCTCTCTCTCTCTGTGTGTGTGTGTGTGTGTGTGTGTGTGTGTGTGTGTGAAAGAAGCCAGATGTATAAGAGAGACTACAGTGGAGGCAGACACTGGCCTCGCATCCAAAGAAAGGCTAGAGAGTTCCTCAGGAGTATCCCAAGAACATATTTCCTTCCCAAATGAACTGGCTGAGAGTGAGTATCCATCACGGTTACGTCAAGGTAGCAAGCAAGGAGTAGCCATCCAAGATTTCTGATTCACTTCTGAGGAACATTTGGTTTGCTACAATCATATAGCCTGCTAGTAAGAAGGGACCAAGGCCTTCTGGGTTCCTGAAATATGGAGTCTCCAAAACTCCTTCTGGGCAAGAGCTCAGTTGTGGCTCTTTAGGGGGTGAGGTATCCTTAAATTCTAGATATTCTGGGGAAAGGTGGAGGGGTGGGTAAGATCAGCACTTTAGAATGGTTGCATAGTTTTAATTTGTTTTTAACTTTTAAACCGCCCTGAACCTGCCTTTCAATCCAATAAAATAAATAAAGTGCTGTCAGTTCTTTCCGATTGCAGTCCCATAGATGCCTTTGGGCCCTACCAGCCCTTCCAGTTGCTAAGATAATCTCTCTGTTTCTTCCAGCAGAGGATGGTCAGAGGATTGAGGAGGGTGAGGAAATCCCTCAGCTAATGCCAGATGGAGTTAAAAATGAAGACCTGAAAGAAAACGATAGAAATCGAGGCAGATCTAAGAGAAAGAAAGGGGGCCATATGAATGAGAAGCAAGGTGGAAGAAAGTGTAAAGTACATTTTCCAAATCACAGGATAATGAAGGCAACTAAATCCATTCAGTGTAGAAAGTACTTCAGAAATACTTCAGAAATCAATCACAGCTGCTTGTGTATCAAAGAATACACAGAGGGGATAAACCTTTTGCATGCTCATAGTACAGAAAGAAATTCAGTCAGAGTTGCACTGTTTGATGACACCAAAGATACCCACACATGGGAGAAACCTTTTGAATGTTCCGAGTGTGGAAAGAGATTCGGTGAGAGTCGCACTCTTCAGAAGCACCAAAGAACCCACACAGGGGAGAAACCTTTTGAATGTTCCGAGTGTGGAAAGAAATTCAGTGAGAGTGGCAGTCTTCGAAACCATCAGAGAACCCACACAGGGGAGAAACCTTTTGAATGCTCAGAGTGTGGAAAGAGATTCAGTGAGAGTGGCGCTCTTCAAAAGCATCAGAGAACCCACACAGGGGAGAAACCTTTTGAATGCTCAGAGTGTGGAAAGAGTTTCAGTGAGAGTGGCGCTCTTCAGAAGCATCAGAGAACCCACACAGGGGAGAAACCATTTGAATGCTCAGAGTGTGGAAAGAGTTTCAGTGAGAGTGGCGCTCTAGGGGAGAAACCTTTTGAATGCTCAGAGTGTGGAAAGAGATTCAGTGATAGTGGCAGTCTTCGAAACCATCAGAGAACCCACACAGGGGAGAAACCTTTTGAGTGCTCAGAGTGTGGAAGGAGATTCCGTGAGAGTGGCCATCTTCAACAGCATCAGAGAACCCACACAGGGGAGAAACCTTTTGAATGCTCAGAGTGTGGAAAGAAATTCAGTCGGAGTGGCCATCTTCAAGATCATCGAAAAACCCACACAGGGGAGAAACCTTTTGAGTGCTCAGAGTGTGGAAAGAGATTCAGTCGGAGTGGCCATCTTCGAAACCATCAGAGAACCCACACAGGGGAGAAACCTTTTGAATGCTCAGAGTGTGGAAAGAGATTCAGTTGGAATGACACTCTTCAAAAGCATCAGAGAACCCACACAGGGGAGAAACCTTTTGAGTGCTCAGAGTGTGGAAAGAGATTCAGTGAGAGTGGCAGTCTTCGAAACCATCAGAGAACCCACACAGGGGAGAAACCTTTTGAATGCTCAGAGTGTGGAAAGAGATTCCGTCAGAGTGGCCATCTTCAACAGCATCTGACAACCCATACGGGAGAAACCCTTTGAATGCTCAGTGCATGGAAAGTTATTCAGTTTGAGTTTCCATCCTTAACGGGACCTATGAACCCACATGGAAGAAACATTTTGAGTGCTCAGTATGTAAAGAGATTGGGTAACTGTGGCAGTCCTCAATGGCATTAGAGAACCCACATGCTCAGAGTGTAGAGTTTCACTCAGAATAGAGATAGATCAAACAGGTAGTCATGGTAGTCTTGAGGAACAGATCCGATTTTCATGTTCTTCAGAAATCCATACAAGAGTGAAACATTCCTATAAGCTGGTTCTGAATAGGGTCTTCTTCAGACACCCAGGTTTTGGAGGTTCAGAAAGGCTCAGAAAGTAGTTACACAAAGCCCCCCCCCTTTTTAGTGGTTGCCCCCCTCTGTGAAACTTGCTACTTCAGGTTATCTACCGATCTAACTCTTTCTTTTTTTTGTTTTGTTAACTTTATTTATTTGATTTTATAAGCCTATATCATATACAAACACAAGATCATTAACTTCATTATATACATACACACTCCTTGTACAACACATTTTCCTAGCAACACAGAGAAACTTGTCCATCACATCCTTACTAAATGATATCTTTCCTTTTCTCCTCATAACATTCACTTTTTAATACCTGTGCACTTGTACTTCTAAATCTTACTAAGGATTTTGCTCCTACAGAGCTATACCAAGATTCTTGTCTGTATTGTAAAAACTTTCTCATTTGTACAATATCTCCTCTCCTATCTCCTATGACTTGCCATTTCTTTGTATTTAGTATAGGGTTTAAATTCCTATTAAACATTTTAATCTTTTCTATTTTTGCTTTTTACCTTATTATTTTCTTCTTGTCCCCCCCCCTTAATTCAATCTTGTCCTGACCTCCCTCACTGCTCACAGTTACCAAGGATAATTTTCACCATCTTACATCACAACCAAACTATTCTCTTTTACCAATGACAGATTTAGACCTACATCTACCACAACCAGATCTTGCCTACTTAAACATTATACACCTTCAAAAATAATCCTAATCATCCCCTTCATCTTTCATCTTATAAGTCATAATTTATACCTCCACAATTTTACAACCTTAACCATAGCTAAAACATCATATATTCATAATTAAATATACCACCAAATCAATTACCAAATTAATATCAAATTATTCATACCTTTAACATCAACCATCTCAAATCACTCTTTTATATTAACTTTGTCCCCCCACTAATTTATCATTCCATCATATTTTAAATATAATTAATTCCCTTTAACTATTCCCATTATAAATAATTCATTTAATGGCCATTCATTAAAATAAATATACTCAATTTTACCTTACACACCCCTTACACACCATTACCCTAATACTCTCTTAACTTAATTAATTTTCTTTAAAACACACCGCCTAATACACCACACCACAGACTTTCCACAAAGTAGAAAAAAAAGCTTAACAATACATTAATTCAGTTATAAATACTTTAAATATTCCCCTTATAGCTACTTCATTTTATGACTACTCATTAAGAATAATATAACAATTATACCTTGCACATACCATACACATCATCACTCTAATATTCTCTTAAGTAAATTAATTTTAATCTACCACATTAAAATTATACAGATAGTCCTACCATTACAATACTTCAATTCATTAGTAAATAAATTTTTGGTCAGTTTCCATTTTAAGCTTATAACCGAAACAAATCCTCCCTGCTTCATATAACTTGTTTTTCTTTTTGAGCATTTGAAGCCTATTTTTCAACATCAACATGTCTCTATGTCTGCGCTCTTTCAACGTGCTTTGCCTTCCGTATCTCCTCTCTCTGTCCTTCAGTCCTTCTGCTTTCCAGGGTGTATTGTCTTTTTAAAACTTCCACGCCTTTCTCCTTCTTCTGATCTTATTTCTTTCCTTCTTTCGTGCAGCTTTTAGACCTTGACTATCTTCTTTTGACCGCCCCACCTTGCCGTCACACTGATTTCCCCCAGAGTCTAGTATGTCCCTTTTCAAACCTTCGGCTTTCACACAGTCACCCAACTTGTCTTCCTTGCCAATATCTTTATCCTCTACTTCTTCCTCCTCTGGTTTCTCTAGGTCCTTCTTCCCTGCACAATGTTCCTGCTTTTCTTTTCCCTCTATTTCTGGTTGTATATTATATTTTTTTCTTATATCTGTGCAGGCTTCTTCGCAGCCTCTTATCACAGCCTCTTTCATCATTCTGAAGAACTGCTCCCAATCCACCTCCTCATTCTCCATATCTTCCTCACAGTCCTCCTCTTCTCTCACTGAACATTCCCCTTTGGGCCAATTCTTTTGGGCTTGCAAAAAACCAACCATCTCTAAGCCTTTCATCCTGTCTGCCATCTCAATGCTCTTCAAATCTTTTTCTTCCCCCACCATTTTTTAACTTACAATTTAGTCCTGTACAAATCCCGGCCGTTTTACTTCACCTTTTTAGACTCCGTTTCTTTTGGGGGACTTCATTTCTCCTTAGACTCTCCGTTGACACTTCATCTTTAGCCTTCTGTGTTGCTTCCATAACTCCCAAACACCATTTAAAAACCGGCTGGCAGCGTCTTCCAGAACATGGCGGCCATGTTCTTTCCCGGTCTTCTGCCCGGCTTCGGGGCTCTCCTGGTCACACACCCCCTGCTTGCCGAATGCGGGAGGGGCCAGAAAGCGCCCCCTGCTCCAGCCCTCCCCCCAAGAGGGCTGGTCGAGCTCCCCCGATAAACAGGGGGCTCAAAAAAGGCAAAAACGGGACAGGCGGCTCGGAGCTCGCCGAGAGTCCGCCCGTCGACGCGCCGCACCCGGAAGTGAATCCTGATCTAACTCTTTCTGACATCTACAAAACTGGGGGAAACATTTCCTTTCCGAAATCCTGTGAGGAAATAGGCAAGGTGAGGGCAACAGACATCTACAGCCTCTCTACTTCTGGTATAAACATAGTGTGACCAGCTGGCATCTTTAATTCATGAACATTTTCAGATGACAAGCAGTTCTAGAGAGTCATCCCACAACTCTAATATCTCCCCAGTCCAGCCTAATGTGAGCTTTTTTGTGTGTCATCACCTTGAAGCCCCAAAATCTCTGGCAATACGATTCTTTTGGGTTGAAAGGAAAACCTTGTGTCCCCCATCCCAACAACACAGTAATTTCTAAGGGGTTAGCCCCCCCCCAATATCATCCAGTACTGTGGAAATGGGCTAGTGTCTGTGCAGTTGGCAGGGGAACCTTGTGGAACACAAATTCCCCAATCCCAATTGTCCTCCCCACCCACCCCCAGATTGTCCCAAAGAGAATCAAGGAGGAGAAGATCCCCTCTTCCTGCTCTGACTCTCCCCCCGCCCATCAACTCCATGAGCCAGAAATGACCTGGAGTAATCTCTGGGCCAAAGCTTAATCCCAATCTCTGACTCCTCAGAGGCCCCCTTGAATTCTTCCTTGGAGAGTGTGTCTTTATTCAGCAAGCTGAAAAATTTCATCTCACTAATTTAGAGATGTATCTGCATTCGGACTGCTAACAGGCCTGAAAGGGGAGGGGGAATCCTGCCTGTTTCCCAGAGGATTAGTGTGTGGAAATGGGCATCTGAAGAGATAAATAACATCCCATAAAGTTTCTGTTAAAGGGAGAGAACTTTTTCCCTTGAGATAGTTGGCAACCCTAGATTAAGTATTTCTTTATGAATCAGAGAAAACGAAATTCAGCTAAGGAAGGGTCATATCTCATTAAAGAGATTATTATTTGTATCACGTATGTATCTTATGAGATCCATCTCATTTCCCCCTCCCCCTCTATTTCATATTTCCCTTTCCTGAAAGACCCCATAGTGCCTCCTCGTAGCAACAAGCTTACATATCATATTTTCTCATACTACAGCAAACATTCATCAGCGTAGTAATATCAGGCACTAGTCCTAACCGCAATTGCTTCTCAATGCTAGAATGCCTTGGCACGACATCATTCAAGGGAAGAAATAAGATATGTAGGCTTTGTGCTACATCACCAAAGAAAAGAAATAAGAACATAACCTTCCATTGTGTTTAGGAGGTTTACTTCTGAGGAAGTCGGACCCACGAAACGGAGAGAGAATCCGGAGCCTTCGTTATTTTTGCTCTACATTAGACGTTCCTGTTATTCTTCTTGTATTACTGTACTGTTAGAATTGTACGAATTTGTTCTTTGCACCTAATACAGTTTGTTAATAATATCTTTGAGCTTTCTGCAAGTTGCAGCGTCTCCCAAGCCTTTTTCTTGTATGATATAGTATCCCTAGCTGGGAGGTCTCTTTTTGGATTAATACCTCTGAGCAGGGGTCATTTTGTAGAAAAAGAGGTGCAGGAGCTCATTAGCGTAACTCATTTGCGTGTGCCACACCCCTTGACATCGCCGGAAGGCAACACCCACCGCTCAGGCTCCACTGGACTGTTTTGGATTGCTAGCTATTGGGGGGGGGGGACGTGCAGATCTGTCCTCGCAGAGGAGGGAGAGCTTGTACCTGAATAAAATTTGGTCTTAAAGGTGCCACTGGTCTGTTTTGGACCCGGGGGGGCTCTGTAACTTACCTGGCTGCTTCTTGCTCTGACTGAGGGCTGCTGGGAGCAGGGGGTGGGGCTTGTTGCATGTGCCCGCCCCCTGGGCTCTTTACTCCGTTCCCATGCGCTCCTGCAGGAAATGACCCCCGCCTCTGAGGATGCCAGTCGCAGCTGCTGGCAAAACGTCAGGATCTACATGTCAGCAAGCTGCCATGAGATGCTGTATTCATTTTCTGTGTTACTTTGCACCCTGCCCATCCCCCGTGTACTTTCCTGTGTAGGTGTTTACTGTCTTTTGCTGCTACATCTGCGGAACTGCTCAAGGTCAACCAGCTGGAGGTGGGATGGAGTGATGGCATTGCTTGGCTTATTATGTATATCATGCCTGTGAACTGAACTAGTGTTTATGTTACAGAACCGTTGTGTTCCCAAGGAATTAGGCGCTCGTTTTATCTGTCTTCCCGCCAGCGGGAAGTGGACTCATTGGTCCTCACCTGGTTCAAAGTTCCTTTATTATGTTCCCTTAGGGGGCTTGTAGTTATTCCTAACAATGCTTGTGTTCTGATCTATCATCGCTTTATAATAAACTCTACTTTGTTCTTCAAACGTGGATTTATTCAAATGCATGGGGAATCGGACACTACAATAGCCAAGACCACGGCCATACAGCCCAGAAAATCTACAACAGCTAATGAACTCCGGCCACGAAAGCCTTCGATAACATACCAAAACAGTGTCGGAATTCAAACCTTCTCTGACACTAACCACTACACCATGTTGGCTGAGTGATTAAAATGTGGGATTCACTGCTAGATGTATTGATGGCCACAGCCAGAGAGAGTTTTCAATGGGGATTAGACATATTAATGGAAGATAGATCTATCAGTGGCTCCTAGCCATGGTGGCTGAGGGGAGCCTCCACATTCAGAGGCACTAATCCTCTGAATCCCGGAGCCAGGAGTCAACGTCGGGGGAAGGCTTCTATGCCCTCTTGTTGGCTCTACAGATGAACTGTTTGGCTGTTGTGTGAGATAGGATTCTGGACTGGGTGGACCCTCATTGGTCTGATCCAGCAGGGTTCTTCTCAGCCTCTTAGGGCAGGAGAACCCAGCTCCATAGAGAAACATCTTGTGTCATTCAGGCCTTAGAGAGCCCTGAATCAGGGAAACCCCGTTAATTGAACGCAGAGGTCTTTTATTCTGACAAAAAAAAAATCCTAGAAACAGCTCTGAGGGTCTTGCCTTTGATGTTAAGGGGATGTTAAGGGCCTTCTTTCCCCCCCCCCCCCCCCCACACCACTAGAACTATAGAATTTCCCATTATTTTTCTCCTGTTTGCGTCTTTGTTTTTAAGGGACACAGTGAAGAACAAGAAGAGAAGAGATTAGATTTATACCCCGCCCTTCACTACCCGAAGGTGTCTCAGAGCGGCTGACAGACTTCTTTTCCCTCCCCCTCCCCACAACAGACACCCTGTGAGGTAGGTGGGGCTGAGAGAGCTCTTGACAGAAACTGCTCTTTTCCAAGAACAGCTCCTATCAGAACTAGGGCTTGCCCAAGGTCATCCAGCCAGGTGCAAGGGGAGGAGTGGGGAATCAAACCCGGTCCTCCCAGATGAGAGTCCGCGCACTTAACCACTGCACCAAACTGGCTCTCAGTGGACCCTCTATGCCCCTCACCCATTCAAATTTTACATCTCTCTTCAACCCCACGACAATGGGTTACAGTTTACCTAAATAATTTATATTAATAACACAATAACAATGAAAGCAAAAGCCATTGGCTGGGGGGGGGTACTTAAAATCGCCTAAGCATCGAGGAATTGTTTGAGTTCCCCCACCCCGTTGCTGCCCAGGGAGTGCTAGGTGCTGTACAGTCTTCTCTGGTCGTTTCATCCCTCCACAACGCAAGGACCGCACCCGCTCTTCTTGTCCAAGCCGCCTTTCAGGGTCCGTGCAAAATCCTGCCGCCACAAATGGGGCTGACCCAACTGGTGCCCCCCCTCTCCTTCGCCAATCACTGGGCCCAGTTCCTCTGCACCAGCCGGTGGTAGGGTCCCTTCCGGCTCATCAGCTCCTCGTGGGTCCCCTCCTCCACCACCTTCCCGCCTTCCAGCACCACGATCTTGTCGGCGCTCTCCACCGTCTGCATGCGGTGAGCGATCACCAGCACGGCCCGGCCTCGGCCTCCGACCACCGACTTCTGGATCTAGCGGAAGAAACGGTGAACATCCAGGAGTCAGAGCAGGAAAGATACGGTGACTTCCCACCGCACAACCCCAATCCTTCCCAATTCACATTCGATTAAACAGAACCACAGAGTTGGGATGGAAGTGGTGCTGAGCCCCTTGCCTGGGAGTCCCCTTATGGATCCCTGTGCAAACAGACTTATTTATAAAAACAGGAGGAGATTGGATTTATACCCCACCCTTCACTACCCAAAGGAGTCTCAGAGCGGCTTACAAACTCCTCTCCCTTCCCCTCCCCACAACAGACACCCTGTGAGGTAGGTGGGGCTGAGAGAGCTCTGACAGAAACTGCTCTTCTCCAAGAACAGCTCTTATCAGAGCTACGGCTTGCCCAAGGTCATCCAGCCAGGTGCAAGCGGAGGAGTGGGGAATCAAACCCGGTACTCCCAGATTAGAGTCCACGCTCCTAACCACTACACCAAACTGGCTCTCACACCAAACTGGGCTGCAAAGCCTGTCTTTGGGGTCAGGAAGCAATCCTGGAGATTTTTTGTCATCTGGGCATGGAACAGAGGTCACTGAGGGTGTGGAGGGGGAGGTATTTGTGAATTTCCTGTATTGTGCAGGGGGTTGGACTAGATGACTCTGGAGGTCCCTTCCAACTCTACGATTATTATAATTCTATAATTCTTATTTGTTTAAAACATTTCTATATTGCCTTTCCATCCCAATAAGGTCTCCAAGGTGGCAGACATCGAAACATTTCAACACTAAAGCAGCATTTAAGATAAAGCATATGTAGAATAATTAAATTAAAAGGGGGGATTACTTTGTGGGTTTTAAATCGGGATGCTTTTAATTGTGGCTGGCCCCACTGGTGGACCTCCTGATGGCACCTGGTATTTTTGGCCACGGTGTGACACAGAGTGTTGGACTGGATGGGCCCTTGGCCTGATCCAACACTGGCTTCTCTTATGTCCTTATGTCTATGAATATTGTATATTGTGATACTTTTAATTGTGACTTGGAAGCAGCCCGTGGCCAGGAGGAAAGATGGGATAGAAATATTCTGATAAACAAAAATAATGAATAAACAAAATGAGGAATGAGTTACAGGCCCCTTCCGCTTCTCAACTCTAAATTGCCTTTTCTTGCAGCAATTTTACTTCAAACAGCACCAGGACTTGGTTATAAACGTCTATGAATATTGTATATTGGTTAGGCATAAGGGAACATTAGAACATAAGAATATAAGAACATAAGAGGAGCCAATGCTGGATTAGGCCAATGGCCCATGTGCTCCAACACCCTGTGCCACACAGTGGCCAAAAATACCTGGTGCCATCAGAAGGTCCAGCAGTGGGGCCAGGACACCAGAAGCCCTCCCACTGTTGCCTCCCCCCACCACGCACCAAGAATACAGTGCATCACTTGCCCCAGACCGAGAGCTCCTATCTATCCCTTGTGTCTAATAGCCACCGATGGACCTCTGCTCCATCTAATTCCCTCTTGAAGCCGTCCATGCTTGTGGCCGCCACCCCCTCCTGTGGCAGTGAATTCCACACGTGCTCAGAGGGACTCTCATTTCTCAGGCTGTAGTGATTAGTCCAGAAAAGGACACCAAGCACAAGGTCCAGGGCTAAACCGCTTCGCACCCGCCGGACTCCCCCAGTGGCAAGTGTGAATCCCGCCCCTTCCCCCGGACTCACGGCCGCTTCGCACTCCACATCCAGGGCACTCGTGGCTTCGTCCAGGATCAAGACCTTCGGGTTCCGGATGAGAGCGCGAGCGATGGCCAGGCGCTGCTTCTGCCCCACGGACATCTGGCCCCCCTTCTCACCCACGTCTGCAGGGAAGCAAGAGGGGAAAAGAGATGAGAGGACTGAGCTGTGATTCGTGTATCACAATTTGGGGGTGGGGTTAGGGTTAAAATGTCTTAGAAATCAAGAAGAAGGGACTGAAGACGCCTGGGTGTATGGAATAGAGGGGGAGAGGGGTTTGTTTGTCTCTCTCTCTCTTTCTCTCTCTGTGTGTGGAGAAGTTAGACCTAGAGATGTGAAGCCTTTTTGTTTTTTTCCTGAAGCCTTTTTGTTTTTTTCCGAAAAATTGGAAAAATTGAAAAAAGAAAAAAATATATATATATGGTATCAGATTGATCTAATTTCTGTGCACTGAGGACAAGTAAGTCCTAGGTTACACACTGAACCCTCCGATGCAAGAGCAAGATGCATTTCTTCCTTTAGGAGGTGCGATTGTCAGAAGAAAATAAAAAAAGTTTCAGTTTGGTTTTTGCATGTGGGTGGGTATTCTGTTTGTAATAATTGTTTGGATACACTATATTTTTAATATGCTAGTTGTGATAATTTCATGCCAAGTAAAAATGTCCATAGTCATATTTTATGTTCCTAAAGTAACAGAATGACTTTCAATCTAGAAAAGACAAAAGAAATGCTAATTCCTGCCTGAGACCGTGAAGAGCCGCTGCCAGCCTGAGTAGACAGTACTGACCTTGGTGGACCGAGGGGCTGATTCGGTATGAGGCAGCCCTACGTGTGGGAGAGAGAGCACTTGCCAAAAGAGGAAGGGAATGGAAAGAAAAGTTGGCAGGAAACCCTCCACTGGAGAGGCTGCATCACTATTGCTCAGTGACAGAACAAGGTTCTAGCCAGTCCCGTGGACCACAGCTGTGTATCTATAGAGAGGGTGGCTTGTTAAATTAGCATGCAAAATAGTGAAGATTTTTTTTAACAGATAATAATAATAAGAAGAGATTGGATTTATACCCCGCCCTTCACTTGGGAGTCTCAGAGCGGCTTACAATCTCCTTTCCCTTACCCTCCCCACAACAGGCACCCTGGGAGGTAGGTAGGGCTGAGAGAGCTCTTTCAAGGACTGCTCCTGGGAGAACAGCTCTAAGAGAACTTGTGACTGACCCTAGGTCACACCAGCAGCTGCAGGTGGAAGAGTGGGAAATCAGACTCGGTTCTCCCAGATTAGAGTCCGCACACTTCACCACGACGCCAAACTGGCTCTCCATAAGAATAATGACAAGCACGGTTTCTGGTTATAATCTCTTTGGGTCCAATGGCGGGGGACGACGACGACGACAACATAGCTAATAAATGTGTCAGAACTGGAGACGGATGTACCCTAAATTGTGAGAATCTAGTCAAAGTCTAGATTCTCACAATTTAGGGTACATCCAGGGATCATTTCCTGCCGGAGCGCACAGGAGCGGAGCTCCGGCAGTAAAGAGCCCAGGGGGCGGGCACATGCAACAAGCCCCACCCCCGGCTCCCAGCAGCCCTCAGTCAGAGCAAGAAGCAGCCAGGTAAGTTGCAGAGCCCCCCCCCAGCTCCCCGGTCCAAAACAGTCCAGTGGCACCTTTAAACCCAGGTTTTATTCAGGTACAAGCTCTCCCTCCTCTGTGAGGGCAGATCTGCACTACCCCCCCAATAGCTAGCAATCCAAAAGAGTCCAGTGGAGCCTGAGAGGTGGATGTTGCCTTCTGACACACTTCCGGTGACGTCAGGGTGTGTGGCATATTCAAATAAGTAATGCTAATGAGTTACGCTAATGAGCTCCTGCACCTCTTTTTCTACATAATGACCCCTGGGTACATCCATCTCCAGTTCTGACTTATTACCAATGCTTCCTCTAAGCTGTGGCGTCTTGTGAGCAAAAACTCTTACTTTGTGAGCTGGTGGCATTAAAGTGGTGAGCGAGCCATTTGGCTGCTGCGTAAATCGGTTTGCTCTGGAGCCGCCCCTTCCTGAGCGAAGACAAAAATGTGTGACCCGGAGGCTAAAAAACTGTGAGCTAGCTTGCACTAAACTCAGCTTAGAGGGAACACTGCTCATGTCCTATGTTTCCTCCCCCCCCAGTTGAACCCAAACAGATGACAGAAACCGAACTTGTCATTCTTCTTATCTATTAAAAAAAATCTTCACTATTTTGCATGCTAATTTAACAAGCCACCCTCTCTCTATATACAACTATGATCTGTAATTCCATTTCATCGTCTGACGAAGTATGCGTGCCCACGAGAGCCCACGCCTTGAATAAAACTTTGCTGGCCTTAAAGGTGCCCCACTGGGCTCTAACTTTGTTCTATTGCTCCAGACCAACACGGTGACCCCACCTTGATTCATTGCTCAGTGAGACGGGGGTTTTGCATTTCAGGGGTGGGGAGGCAGGGCTGCTAAGATCCAAGACTGCAGGTTTCTGAGAGCCATGGAGGGGGCAGCTTTATCATTTAGGCCCCCACATGCACTACCGCAGCTACACCCCAAAAGGGCTCCGTGGACAGCAGCAGGGAAAGGAGTTGGCAGCAGAGAACTTGGGGATTCTCTAGAAGGAAAGCAAATTTTGAGGGGGGGGGGGGGGAAACCAGCTTCTGCGGGCACCTGCGTCGAACCCTCCTTCCAGCTCCCAGATGAACTCCAAGGCACTGGCGTCTTTCGCTGCCCTGATGACGTCTTCCTCTCTGCAGCCTTCCACCCCATAGGCGATGTTGTCCCGAATGGACCCGGAGAAGAGGACGGGCTCCTGGTTCACCAGCGCCACCTGCAGGCGACACCGGGGGGGGGGGAATCGCTCCTAAATCGTTGCTTTTCATTTAAAATCCATTTCTGAATTCCACCCACCCTCTTCAAAAGAAAAACTGTCAACAAGCAAATGCTGTTTCCAGTAAGTTAGCCCAAAATGTAACATGTTTCTGATCCATTTGTTTGAAGGGAAGGAAACAAAACTATAACCCATTACAAGAACGATCCTCTTGTTGACACACATACACACACCCTGAAGATGGTTTTATTTAGGGCTGCATTTGACTGGTTTAATTTTACTTATTGGCAGTCCTAAATTGGAGTTTTTAAATTGTGGCCTTTTATGTGCTTTTATTGTTTTCTTTGTGCTGTTTTAATTTTGTTTTTTTTTAATATAACTGTTTTATTTATATTGGGAAGCCGCCTTCAGTTCTTCAAGAGGAAAGGTGGCAAATAATATTTTAAAACATTAATAAAAGCCAGAATATGAGGCCGTCAACAACTAAATCTGCCGTTTCAAACCGAGCACAGCAGTTTGAGAAGATCTGCAAACCCTGCAATGATTTCAGTTTAAAAAAAAATGAAAATTTGTTACAGTCAGAGGTCATTTCAGGGGGGAACGCGGGGGATCGCAGTTCCCCCGGGTGAGCTGCAGGGGGCGGGGCACATGATGAAGCCCCGCCCCCTGCTTCCGGCCGCCCCGCTTCTGGCCCTCATTCAGCCAGGAGGAGGCAGGAGAAGAGGGAGGGTAAGTTGCTTCCTCCCCGCCTCTCCCCACCCCTGCCTGCCTGGGGCCAGGGAGGGCCTTCGCGGGGCTTCCTCGCACTCCCGATGGCCTTGCAGGTCCACCGCCGGGCCCCTGATGTCAGAGGGTGTGGCATATGCTAATGAGTTATGCTAATGAGTTCCCCTAGCTCTTTTTCTACGAAATGACCCCTGGTTACAGTTAAAAAAAAAAAAAAAAGCACAAACCAGGTGACGGAGTGAGCTCCCATCTCTGGCCCCAGCTCCTGCCAAACTAACAGTTCGAAAGCAAGAAATTGCAAGTAGATAAATAGGCACCGCTTTGGTGGGAAGGTAACGGCGTTTTGTGCGCCTCGGCGTCTAGTCACGCCGGCCACATGACCACGGAGAAGTCTTCGGACAGCGCTGGCTCTTCGGCTTGGAAACGGAGACGAGCACCACCCTCTAGAGTCAGATTCGACTGGCTTTCGAGCAAGGGAAACCTTTACCTTTATGCACTGTAGGCGGTTCTTGACAGGGTTGCCAGCAAGCCTGGAGAAAAATGTCCTGTCCTTTTAATGACCGGAATGGCCTGAAAGTCAAGAACATCACCTGGCACTTAGCATCCCACCATGGTTCTATTAAGAGGATAGGATATTTTTTTCTCCAGGCCTGTTGGCAACTCAAATTCTTGGTGCTCATTTTCCAAGCAAAGACAACAGGCATTTGCTTTGTGTGTGCAGAATACAGTCAAACTCATTTCTGACCTCGTGGCTGCCTTCTTAAGGTAAAGGTAAAGGTTTCCCTTGCTCGAAAGCCAGTAGAATCCGACTCGGGGGCGGTGCTCGTCTCCGTTTCCAAGCTGAAGAGCCAGTGCTGTCCGAAGACATCTCCGTGGTCATGTGGCCGGCATGACTAGACGCCGAGGCGCACGGAACGCTGTTACCTTCCCACCGAAGTGGTACCCATTTATCTACTTGCGATTTCTTGCTTTCAAACGGCTAGGTTGGCAGGAGCTGGGGCCAGAGATGGGAGCTCACTCCGTCATACGGCACTCGGGTCTCGAACTGCCAAACTATCGACCTTCCAGTCTGCAGTTCAGCGTCTTAACCTCTTTCCAAAAGAAGAACAAGCAAAAAAAAAAAAGAAAGAAAAGGTGCAAGAGAAGAAGACTCGCTTCATTCAGTTATACCCTGGAACTCTGTTGCTGTGGGAATTTCTTGATACAATCATACAAATCCCCCAGGGCTTTTGTTTTGGAGAAAGAGGTGCCGGAACTCTCAAGAGGGAAATGAAGTTTTCATTCTGCGTACTGAAAACTCACAAACTTTTAAACATTTAAAAAAGAATTTTGCCGAAGAGGTTCCGGAAGTCTGATCCGGCACGTTCCCCCAGAAAGAAAGCCCTGTCCCCCTGAAAAGGCATAAAGCAAAATGCGTAGGGGCAGTATTTCTGAACAAAACTCCCCCCCCCCACTGCACCTTTTCTTTTCTTGCTCTTTCGCTCCATCCTTTGTGTGTCAGTGACTCAAGAAAACCAGTTTGGTGTCGCGGTGAAGTGCGCGGACTCTAATCTGGGAGAACCGGGTTTGATGCCCCACTCCTCCACTTGCACCTGGCTGGATGACCTTGGGCAAGCCGTAGTTCTGATAAGAGCTGTCCTTGAAAATGAGCAGCTTCTGTCAGAGTTCTCTCAGCCCCACCTACCTCACAGGGTGTCTGTTGTGGGGAGGGGAAGGGAAAGGAGTTTGGAAGCCGCTCTGAGACACCTTTGGGTAGTGAAGGGCGGGGGATAAATCCAATCTCCTCTTCTTCTTCTTCATCCCCTGCCTCAAATTTTG